TTATATATCGTATAATGATTTGTGATTACTCACCTTGCTTGTTTGAATGTTGCCTCCACGTGGGTAACATGCAGATGATCAGGATTAGCTCTCTTGGTGCATGAAGATTTAGCATTTGGAGTTATTTAGTTTTATTTCTGTTGAATTTAAATAGTGTCTTTCTCTGATATATAACATCGGGTCAGGACGTCTTTGAGTTAAACTTTTATGTTCTAGTTTTTATAGACATGATGTCACTATGATTTTTACTATTTTGACGTTTTGTATTTAATTACTTAAGATTATAATTTCTGCTGCATAGTAGTTTTGATTGAATTTTTTATTTGGTGAAAGAACCCGTGTTACGGAGCAGGATATTATTTAGATGTTTTATGACAAAATGTGGATCCCTTGTGGTGATTTACTCTGATTTATTTATCTTTAGTTAGTTGTTTTATTCGTGATTATTTTGTGGGATAGAAGGGTGTTATAGCACCCCCATAATTTTTTATAATGACCAATTTACCTTTTACATTATTTTATCTTTCAAATTTTCACGTTGTAGTAAAAAATTCTCTCTATAAAAACCTGATAGAAACTAAATATCCGGTAGTTGTTTTAAAATATTTGGTACAAAAAATTTGATAAAGTTGCTTGTTTCTGCATTTTTACCAAACATTTAAATATATGGTATGATATTTTTCCAAATTTTTTCCAAATATTCGGAAATATGTTTAAGTTTTATCAGAGTTTTGGCAAATACTCGGAATTATTATGCAGTTTTACAAGATTTTTTTGAAAAATTCAAAAATCACTTGAATATTTACTAGATTTCTAGGAAACATCATGAATCTTTTGTAGTTTTACCGATATTTTTGAAAAGTCTGGAATTTACAAAGTTTCTGACGTTGTTATTATCAAAGATTTTGAAAATTTTAGAAAACGTGTTCAATATCAGATTTTTTGCACAGACCAAAAATCTGGTAGTTCGGTATGTTCCAATTGTGTGATCGTGTTTCCGATGTTTCCCAAGTGGATTTTTACTCAATTTTTCACCATGTATGTTGTATGTTTTACATAAATGCTTATTTTTTACATAATTGTCCAATCCTTATTTATGATATCTCATACATTGATCATTTATTTTGTATACGTTGTAAATGTCATATATTCCCCTCGAGCTGACGTTTTGGCATGGGTGCAGTCCATTGGTAAACAACATGGTATTGTTGTTGTTACTATTTATTTCAATAGTGCAATCGGGATGAGACTGAGGAAAGATAAATTGCCTATGGATTGTGAGAGAGTAGAAAATTACAAGAAAAATGTTGTGTTTGCATTAAATTATACTATGAAACTGAAATGTCCATTTATGTTGAGATATGTGTCAATTGGATACAGCTGGAACGTTACAGTCAGATGTGGGTTTCACAATCATATACTAGCTAAGGACTTAAATAGGAATGATGTATTATGTCGTTTAAAATACCAAGAAAGAAATTTTGTGAATGACATGACCAAATACAATATGGCACTCAGATACATAGTTGTTGCTTTGAAAGATAGAGATCCAGAAAACCTAACAAGCATTACCCATGTCTACAAGGCTAGGTCTACATACAATGCGAGTAAGAGATGTTCGTTGAGTGGTATGCAACATTTTCCGAGTCTTATTCGTGAAGGTAAATGCATGTATTGAACAAGAAACAGTGACTATTCCAATGTTATTGATGATATCTTTTGGATGCACCCTTATTTAATGAAGTTGTTGAACATGTTCCATCTTGTGTTTATTTTTTATTGCAAATACAAAAAAACAGGTACTTCTTATGTCAAATGCTTCTATTTTAATTTATTTGTTTCGAAAGTTGTTATGGGTTGTTGATGATTTAATGTGCGTACATAACAAACAGGTGTCAGCTATCACTACACGAGATTGTTGGTATTGCATCCACAAAGTTGACATTTTATGTTGGTTTTTAATATCTGAAACATGAAAGGGAGTAAAACTTCATGTGGACATTTAAAAAGCTAAAATAGATGTTCGCTTCTAATAAGTTGCTACCAAATATTTTGGTTACTAATCATGAACTGGCATTGATGAATGTTGTGGAAGTTGTGTTTTCAAACTCAACTCATTGTTGTATCTATTCCATATTTTTTTTAAAAATAGTATGAAGTGTAAGAAATAAGTCAAATCACATAAGCATGAGCATGTTATGGATATGTAGAAAAACATCATATATTTGAATATGCAGACTGATTTTGTGATACACCTAAAGCATTTTGATGTTATATGTGTTGATATTCCAAAATTTGTTTAGTATGTGCCTGAAAAATGATTGGCACTCTATAAAGAAAGATGTGTTAGTGCTTGGACTAATAGAGCCACTCATATAAGGAACACAACAACCAACAGGTGCATTGATGTTAATATGAATATAGTTACATTAGAATTATCAAATAATGATATTTTATTCTATTTATATTCTTTAGGGTTAAGTCTACTCAATGGAGACTAAAAAATATGCTGGCAAATAACATGGGAGATTTATGTAGAAGTTGGGATGTTGTTAAAACCATGTTGAAGCTGCAATTAGGTTCTATTAGAGTGTTATTTAAAAAAATTGTATGTAACATTGAGCATCAATATAACACTCCATTTTACTCTAGATTGCACGGCTTTGTTTCAAGACAGTGTATTCAACATATTGAAAAAGAGCTAGAATGGATAAAATCCATTGATTGTGATAAAATAGCATGTGGTTGCTTCATTAAAATAACTCATAGGTTACTTTGTGTGTGGAACTTACAGGATATCAAATACAAGGAAACCATTTTCTATTAGACTCGATACATGTATTTTGGAAAAAAAAAATTATTTATCGAAGAGCAATAGGTCACCGAAAAGATAGTAGGACACAGTTGAATTTAAAAGAAGAGTGTGAAGAACTGAATAAGTATTTTAGTACACTTCGAAGTTAAAAGAAGAGTGTGAAGAACTAAAGAAGTATTTTAGTACACTAGGAAGTTGCAAGAGCATGGAAATCAATATATGCGGGACGTATTTGACATTAGGAAGAAGTAGCTAGAAAGTCAACATAATTTGTTTTGAAATAATATTATAACATTTTTATATTATATGTATATATGTTTTATCTGCTTAACTTTGTTAAAAAAAAAATTCAAATATTTCAGTACTGTCTACTAGACTTTTCAAATTTCTAGAATTTTGGTGCATATCGGATTTTCTTTTAACTTGTTTTTGGATTTTTTTTCAAATATCTAGTAACTTCTTTCTAGATTTTTCAAAAATCTAATAATTCTTCATAATTTTTTCAATAAACTTCAAATTTTTACCGACAATTGTGCAAATGTCTGACATTTTTGCATTCTTTTGCAAAATATTCAATAATTTCACAATAAATTCGATAACTCTACATTCAACGAGAAATTTTACGAAATATCTAGTAACTGCATGAAAATTTGAAAATTTACCAAAACTTTTTTAAAAACCGATAATTTATAACAAGGGCAATCCCTTAGGTGGTGCCAAGTACAATTTGAAGAGTGGGAGGAAAATTCCTGAGAGACCAGACCATGTCGTGTTGTTGTAGAAAACATTCTTCTACCTTGGCATGTTGCTGTCATAAGACACCACTGTTCGTTGAAGTCACCTCTACGATGTATGGTATTAGTTCACCATAGACCATTTAATTGTTGGTTCCCTTTAGATATCACCACTTTTCATCTCATATTTTAATAAAAACTGCATTAATACACACATAATTCCTTCAAAAACATTTTTTTTTACAGAAACCGAGTAATACTTTGTGTGCAGTAGAGAGATTAATTCCTCGAATCAAGGAAAACCACGATGAACAGTAAAACTTTTCCTCAAGAGAATTTAACACAACCATCTATCGGGGGCTGAATTCGCACTTCTGTGTATCCAGCCATGTTAAGTTCAAACTCATAACCTCTTGATAATTTGGAAGAGAACCCTTACCAATTTATCCAAGTGCTCTTATGTTCTTCATAAACACATTATATTAAGGCATAAAATTTGTTTTTATATGAATATGTACGTCCAACAGTCATGTTGGAGATTAATCTTTTTCATATGAATATTGGTATAAAACAAGGCATCGAATTCCAAGGACCACTTGAAAAATGGTATATGGGTGAAGATGACCTATTGGCAATTTGGCATTATATCTTCAATCAATGGTCAAGATTAGAGCAAGAATAACATACTTTACCTTTCAACCATTAAACATTCATATAGAATAGTTGCCTACATATAACATGCTTGAGACTGAAAAAAGGAAGAAAATCATGCAACTATGATAGCTTCATAATCACACGAAAGAAAAATCATTAAAGAGACTGGTATCAATTGTAAGGTAAAAAGTCCTGCTATAAATGACAGCTAAATTTCTTACAAACATATGGGCAGCAATTGATTAATGTGCCACTAATCGGATTTACAGTACACAAAATTGAGTAAGAATCCTATAAAGTAATTAAAAAAATAATAACATAAAGCCAGAGCAAGACCCTTATGCAAATTGCAAAGTTCTGCTTCTGACAAACTTCAAATATAGAACAATTTGCTGAAGATAATAGTCTCATCAAATGAGGCTAAACCAATCAACTTTAACCGTTGAAAACAGTAATGTCAGACTGGGAATAAAATCTTCCATTTTTTGTTGACAGTAATACTACATAGCTAGGAAAAAAATGACAAAACTCACCCATAATCAACGGCAATTGTTGGATAAATTAATCGTAACTTCTCGTCCATCCAAGAATGAATCACAATGTCAACTCAATTTGGATCAAATTCTGTCAAATTAATTCTAGCTATCGAGCACTTTCCATTTCTTACACAAGCCACGTGGTCACCAAGTAGTTTTCGTTTATCATATTACAAAGTACATACCCTCCTTGCTACAAGTCTCTGCATATCTTCTTACCTCGGTCCTCTTTTGGAGTTTCTATTTTATGGTTAACTTTCTTCATTCCCTCATTTGTTCCCCAAGTTTTCCCGTATCAACAATCATTTCCTCATGATTAGTTTCTTTTATAAATCTATCCACATTGTCTGTCATGTTATCCTCTGCAACTTTTATTACCTCGAGAAGTTCACATGGAGTAGCAGCTGGGTCCAGCACCCTGCAACCCTTTGGAGCATTAGGAGCTTCTTCGCCAGTGAGTACGTGTGAAGGTACCTGATGAGAGAATCGAAGCATCTCCTTCCTTGGAATGATCTTGATCTCTTTCTCATTTAAGTGGTGGTGAAATACTGCCTTGAACCCGGCCACCTTGACCAGAGGAATAACCATTACACCCCGTTCTTCAACATAATCTTCGAGTACTTCAACCATGTCAAACTTGTGTATTACATCATCTGCTATCAGATCATTCCAACTAAGAGACCAGTTCCTATAGATGGCCCAAACTTCCCCTTTTTTGGGATTTATACAAATTGCTCCATCGTTACCTTTTTTCCATTTAACCTTCTGAGAAAAACAATTGATCCAATTATAGATTTCGCGTTTGCCTAATCTGAAATGCCCACAAGTTTTTGAAAAGCCAAAAGAAACCCAATTTAGAGGGCCTAGTTCGCCGCCGTTGATATTTGGGTACAGCCAACTGATCTGCAACTTGAATGGATTCATCGAGATCACTCTGTGAATCATAGCATAATGTCGAGGCATCCCATCATCCCCGTCATATGCAGCCCATACTTGATTTTCACCAAAAGACCTTTCAGTTCGATCCTTGTAAAAATCATAAAAATCAGGTTCTGGAATATCTACTAGCATTGAATCCAAAATTTCAGGGCAAGTGTTATCAATGATAGGAGCAGCAAATGACCTGCTCTCCTGCAGACTACTCTTCGCATCTTCCAACTTCCCAGTGTTATTTTGAGTGCAGATCTCAGAGTTTCTTGCTGAAAATTCTCCTTTCCGGTTAGCTTTCTGGAGGCAATCTCCACTCTTTTTTGCTGCTGATTCACCAACAGTATTTAATTGAAACTCTTTGAGACTCTTGCTAATTTCTTTTCTAGCTTTCTCAACAAGAAGTCTCTGAAGTTCAACTGGGGAGAGATCTCTAGTACAATTGAACTTGATTTCATTGCCTAAGTTAGATGCTCCAACTGCTCCATTTCCATCCATGCCCTTTCTTTTCCTCTTGGCTGGATTAAAGTAACCTTTTTTCGAAGCATTCTGCTTCCTTTTCAAAGCCTCTTCCCTTTTGTTAGCTGCTTGTGCCTCCTCACGGTCACGCCTCACCTTATCATATGCCTGCTGAACTACATTTGCCGCTTGAGTCACATCAGAAACACCAGAAGTTTTAGAGAATGGAGCCCACTGGAAGCTGTTCTTGTTAGACTCTGCTCCAGCATTTGGAGGTGCTGTGTTGTTCTTTCCAACAGATTTGCTTTTGTTAGGTCCTTCGTTATCGTACTTTTGTTTAAAAATCCACGATGTTCCAGGTCTGATACCACTTGCAGGAGGCGGATCAGTTTCTACCGCCAAAAATGCTTCATGGCAGCTGGGACACACGAGTTTAAGGTTAAGATAAACTCTGAGATATTCGTATTGCATTTTACAGCGTTTGCAAGTAGTCCAAAATGTGGATTTCGATTTATTGGAAGACGATGTATTTTCTTTAGCAGTATTCTTCTGAGTCTTTCCCATTGAAGGTGTTTTCTTTTTACTATTGTTAGCCCCATTTGCAGCCGCTTTTGCTGACGAACCACCGAAAATGGCCGAGCCTTTCTGTGCTCTTGCATTTATCTTCTCATCATAAGCTGCCCTTCTAGCCTTGTCGGACAGTATACTCCACGCCTCCGAAATAAGTTTAAAGGCCCCGTCGGCTCCGATGGATTTGTTCTTGTCAGGGTGAAGCATGAGAGCTAGCTTTCTATAATGTTTCCGAACTGTATCATCATCAGCATGGGGGCTTACACCAAGTATACCATACCAATCTGCTTCTCCTTTTACTTTATTATCGGCTGAAATATATATGTCAAGTGTTGCTATCATTTGAGGAATACCTTCAAGGGAAGGAAACAAATTTTGGGCTTTCAAAGCAAACTTCTTCGCACCCAAAGTGTCCTTTTCAATAAACTTCCGCTCGGCAATTTCTTTAGCTCTGGTGGCCTCATCCTTGTTGCACTCCATTTCTCTCGCCTGCGTTTTCGTCCACTTCAGATGTAATATAACATCAGCAGTTCCTCGTCTATTAAGAATCTTGGCGCCTCAGATGCTTATTATACACAGTTTGAGTTCGCATACAGTTTCAACAAGCGATTCATCGATGAAAATCAAACCCTATAAAGTAAAAATGGATTTCAGTTAATAAGGTAATAAGTTGTATGAAAAAATGAATTCAATCAAATTCAAATATATAAAATACAATGGTGTTTTTTGGGGGATGCTATAACACAATCTGGCTTAAAAACATGTCACCTATTGATTGATCAGATTTTACAAAATATTCAAGCACAATACAGTTTAAAAGAGTAGGACCCATGGTTTTAAATTGCGGTCTGCAACCGCAATTGCGGCCACAATACTGCTTATGTGGTAGCCTCCACAACCGTATCAAACCGCAATTGTGGTGTGATTTAAATCTATGTGTGCAACCGTATTAGAAACCACATAAGAAAATTTTGACCATGTTTATTTTATTATTTTCATCAAAAATAAAAAAAATCCCAACTCTAAAACTCAATTTCCTCACGATGTAATGAAAAATCTTAACTTTAACTCTCAATTGTGTATTTCAAACACCTCCTAATTAAAATTCACGCCGCAACGTGCGTCGCACCAACTGCATTGATCGCAATCGCAACACCCGCAACTGCATCCGCGACTGCAACCACAATTTAAAACCATGGCATGCAGGACCAACACCGGTTTTAAAAAAATTATCAAATCAAAACCCAAACATCACTAAATGCAACTGTAAATACACATTCAAGCAATGCATATGACCATTATTATTTGACAAATACCAATCAGAAGAGTATCAAGCAGTGTTGATAAATAGCGGCTACAGAGGGCACTGTAGCACAGTGGAATTTGACCAAATGGCAGCTATAGTTGCACGCTATTATATCACACTTATGCATAACAAAATTTGAACAAACTGAAATTTTCTGTGATCGGCGGGACAATTTTATAACAAAAAATCAAGATATGACACAGCCTAAATATAATAAAAGAAATTTATAAAATATAAATATACCAACAGAAATGCACAACATATGTAACAGATGGGCGAAAGAGTAGAGTCAGAAAGGAGCTTAGTACCGCAGAATTAGGGCATATGAAGTCAGAAAATGTGCAAACCAGACCAACGAAGCAGATACATGAAATATATAGCTGAGAGAATAGAACAACAACGGTAACAGAGCAAGTAATGAGCAAGAGCTACAGAACAATGCAGATCAGAACTCCACAAGTCTGCAACCAGAGCAATTCTGCAGATGGACAAAAGAGTATCACAAGAAAATAAGTAGGGCATGCGGATCTTAACAATAGAGCAGACAAAATACAAAAGATAGGTAAAAAATGGAATTTCCAATGAGACTCATCGTATCCGAGTGACAACCGTGTCATTAATTAGCAAGATGTGTCGAAACTGTATCAGACAACTGATAAGGATCTTAACTACAGAGCAGACATAAAGTAGAAAACTGAGGAGTTAAAACTGTTAAAATGACACTTTCAATGACGACACTGTGGGCGTCGTATCCGGGTGACAAGAGTGTCATTAATTGGCAAGACGTATCGAAACCGGATAAGATAAGTTTCAACGAAATTAATAAATTAAAAGATATACAAAAATACAGGATACTTTCGAGATAAGAAATTGTCGTGCATCGGTATTGGTTACTACTCAGACATAGATACCTTTCCTTTTACGAAGTATCGAAGAACAAGTTATTGTGAGATCATAACGGAAAGTTGAAAACTATACAATATTTAGATACTTCCATGTTCATGAATTGATACAATCACGAAACAACATAACATATCATTTCATTCCATTTCATTATATCAATATTTCAAAACTGAAACCAGACCATCCAGTTCAACCAGTCAAACCACGAATCGGCTGTATCTCCAGTAAGATCACTACTCAACCATAAATTCAAACAAGCAAACTAATCAAACCATTAACTATAAGTATCAGCATATTGGGGGATAGATTTTTCAAAACACTGCATTAAATTCTTACATTTGAAGTTAAAATATATAAATGATAATAAAACTAGCAACAAAAACAATAAACAAGGTTAAAAAAAAAAACTCCCCCGCCAAAAAAAATATTACAAAATTGAAGTTTTTCATCTACTAATTAATCCATCACATACACACAAAACACCGAAGCCCATAAATGAAAAATTAAAATTCAAAGTTACTCTTTTGAAGTAAAGATTAACAAGAAAACAAACCAAGCTTACCCAAATCTCAACAACTCCAAAACCTCTAAGCTCCTAGAAACCACCGCGAAGAAGGACGAAACCCTAAAAATAATAATATAATAGTAATATTAATATCAGAAAGAGAAAAAAAGGAAAAATGAAAGAAAAAAAATGGGGAACCCTAGAATCAGCAAAGTTGAGAAATTTGGATTGAGAAATGAGAATGAAAAGTAACTGATTAGAAGAACTAAGGAAATAAAAAAACTGAATTTTCTGAAGAAAAAAAACTAATTGATTGTGAAGAAGAAAATTGGTGACTTACAATTGAAGAAATGAAGATCGTTGAGAGGAAGCGATTTTGGAGAGACTGTTTGGAATTTTGGTTCATAAATCTTCGGTTTTGCTACGGATTGTTCATGCTTGTTTATGCTCACACTAAACGCACTTTTCGCTGTAAGCTTTTTTTTCTCTTGTTTTTGGTTAAAAATGTTTTTTGGTATGATTTATAGTGGAATCTGAGACATGTATCTAGAGGTGATAATGGACCTTGAAAGATATCATTTGGGTTGGATAATGGGGCGGGTTCGGGCCAAACTAAGGTCTCGGTTGGGTGAATTTAGATCGGATGAATAGTGAGTTCTCTGATTTTACAAGTAAGTTCTTTAATTTTACATAGGAAAATTTTATATTCTAGAGAACTTAGCATGTGGTTCTCCGGTTCACATTGGTATTAACTGGATAACTTGGAACCATGTTATTTAGTTCTTAATATTTTCCACCAGAGAATTTGGTTTAAGTTTATCCGATTTTTATTTTTAATTTTCATTATTTTTTGTTATTTTTAGTGGCGCGCATGAGAGTGCGAAACAGAGAAGTTATTCCACGAAAAGGTGAAGAACAACAATCTCGACAAACGAACATCAAATAGTCAAGCATGAGCCTCGTCCACGAAAAACATAGTTCCCTTAGGGGGTCGTACGATACGTTTTTTTCTGGTGAGGTAAGAGAGTCATGTTGCTCGTTGTCGCAACTGCGAAAAGGACCGGCGAAAACAAACAGAAGATTCACCACCGAACGTTATTTAACCCAAAGAGAGGAAAAGGAAACGATCGAAGAAAACCTAAAAGAACGGGAAAAGACAAGGTCCTTGCAACCAAATCTTGGGTTCGGGAGTCGGTTACGCAGGGGGAAGGTATGACTGCCTCTCACGTCTGTTGTACTCAACGGGATCCACGCTTGTTGTCTAACCAAAGGGTGGGTTATCTAAAAGTTACTGTTAAACGGAAACGGGACGGGGAAAAGAAAAAGGAGACTTCATAGGACATCGTCGCCCTATGCCTACGTATTTCCTCATGTAATGGGAAAGTCATAGTCAACGTAGTTCGAAAAACTACGGGAAAGGGTCTCGATCGCACTGGGGCATGGGAAAAGGTTTGAATAATAGGTTGGTCTTGATCGCACTTGGGTGAGAAAAAAGGGAGTTAGTTGTTAGTGTGATCGCCAATGATAGGAATCCTCGTGCCTACGTATCCTCATTAGGGAATAAGAAATCAGAGCATCCGTAGTTCACGGTACTACGGGAAAACGGGAACGCAATTGCACAGGGCGAGAGAAAAGACTTTGGGCCTGAAACGCCTTAACAGAAGTGAATTGACTTTGTTTGAGATGTGTACTGCACAAAAGTCTATGACATATGAGTGAATGCGTCGCATATCGCCCAAGGGGCATACGCTAAACACTATAGACAAGTAAGGAGAGACCCCTCACTCATTATTTCCCATGTACTTAAGGCTCGTGGCGTACAATACTCATCGTAGTTATTAAGTGTTTTGATTATTGTTTCGAGAGAGAAGAGAAAGACGCGCGCAAGGTCTAGGGGAAACTGAACCCTAACTTTTATCATACAATGTGGCCCTAAGATCAGGATTGGGAGTGAAGTCTACCTAATGTTGTCATACTTGGATTGAAAGCCTAATGTATCTCCTACCTCAAACTTAATCAGAAATTAAGTTGAGCTAGGAATCCTAAGGGATCATGTGAATACAGAGGTAATCAATAGGTAAACACGAAGCATCGCAATCACCAACAAAACCAAGTATCGAAACTCAAGTAAATATACAAGATCAAAGCCATATCAGTCATCAAAGAAAATATACAAGTGTTGTCAAAGAAATATTCGCAAACGCACTCGAGAATTAATTAATGACAAAGTAAAATAAAACTCCTAAAATATACAACCAACACCAATAGAAAAACTAATATCAAAACTAAAATCAAAGTTTAACTAACTAAATTCTAATCAAAGGTTAATCCTAAGTTATTCTAAAATTAAACTAAATTCTAATTCTAATTAAACAAAAATAAAATAAAATTAAAACCAATAGAATTAATCTTAAATTAAAATCTAATTCTAAGCTAACAACATTAATTAATTCAAGATTAATACTAATGCTAGTTAATCTAAATAAACTAAAAATAAAAGATTAGTCAAAATTAAAAATTAAGATTAAAAGTTAATCAAAAGTTATCTAAATCTAAAATCAACAATTAACTAAAATAAGAAAATAGAAATTAATCCACAATTAAAATCAAGGTTAATTATAAAACTAAAACTAGATTAAAACAAAACTAAATGAAAAGAGGGGTGCAGAATTGAAAAAGGGTTGGGCACTAAGAAACTCCAGGCGCATGGGCTGAGATTCCTAGGCCCAAGAATTTTGTTTGGACCAAAAGGAGGTGAGAAAGAAA